AAATTCCAGTGAAATATATTTATGTTTGTGGTTGTAATGTGACAAAATATGGAAAAGTTCAAGGGGTATGAATACTTTTGCAAACCACTGTATATAGCCAATCATCTGGTTTTATAGTCAAGTTTATTTTAAATATAAAATAGCTTGATTAAGTTCTGCCCTTTCCTCAGACTGCTGCTGCAATCACTTCACTATTTGACCTTTTCCTTTGGTAACAGCACTACACTCTGCTTGTTGGGTTCTATTGTCCAAATGTTCAAATACTTACCAGAATAAGGAAGAACTTATGTTTATTTACAATTCATTATGGGTTTTGGTAGTATCAGTGTTCAGGTTAGCTTTAAAGACAGGAGACCAATTTTACAATAATCCCTACTTTTTCCTCATTCATATTTTTCAGTAATTTATTTTTGTGACACTATTATTATTTCATAATCATTAAAGCCTAAAAATCATATATGTTTTTATTCTACTAAAAAAGTGCATCAAAGGCAAAACCATACAAATCTAGAAAATATGCTTTCAGTGTTAAACATAAGAGTTTTTTGATTTTTCTACAAGAAGGAAATCCTGAAAAAATTGGGGGAAAATACATTTTAGTTTCAGTGTCTCACAGTTAGGAAAGCTGACCTGTTGGAAGAGACTAATCTTTTTGGAAATGCTGGATGGGATTTCCTGTTCACACTGGGAGCTTTGCAAGAAGGACAGCCAAAGGTCTGAATCACTCAAACCCAAAGTCTGGTAAAATGCTGGGAATGTCGTCTGCAAAAGAAGAGGAGACAACATTAAAAAAAATAAGATTGTGATTCATTTGTTTTTGATGTCTTTGATTGAAGAAAACATCAAAACATGAAGATATATACTGTATTTTTTTAATTATTGATCTATATGCTAATATTTAACATTTAACATTGCATTTTAGCACCCTGTGCAATGATACTAATTTCATGTTTGAAAGTAAATGCTGTATTTTCCTATTTTTCTGTGTGCTTACTTTCAAAATGGCCAATGTTCCATGTCTCTCTTGATCAATCCAAGAAGGAAACTCCTGATGAATAAAATCATGTGTTAGTCAAAGAAAGACAGATACTTATTATTTTTCTTGAGCAAGAGTATGTATTACTTCTTTCTTAAACATTTCTCCAACAATGGATCCAATGAAGACATCCCATTCCTACAAACAGAACCATACAGTAAATTGTTATGACAATTAAGTTCAAAGCTAAAACTTATACAACTGATTTGTCTCAAAATTTATTAGTAATGATCTTAAAAAGCAGAATAAAAACCAAAATAAAAACAATAAATACTTACACCCTCCTGGAAGAGTTCTGGGTACATGCCTTTCACAAAATGCATAGCAAACATCAACTGGTCAGCCTAAGACAGAGACAAGAAAAGGCAAATTGTTTAAAACAGTCAGACGTTATCACTCTATTCCACAGGGTAATGAGATATTTTGCTTTGTTCCAAACCAAAATAAAGAAAAAACAAATTATTTGCACGTCTTTTATTTAAACTGAACGTCTGCAGAATTTGCCTCTTGGGCTTCGAGTTCTGCACAGGCTTCTGCATTTTTCCAAAACCCTCCATTGAAGTGCCTACCCTACTGTCTGTCACATCTGCTGGGGAATTTGAATAGAGATAACAGATACTGCCATTAATCAGGATGCTTATCTCACTCCCACACACAGAAACAAAGAGACAGAGACCAGAAGAGATTTCTATTGAAGCAGTAAACACAAACACTCTCCCAACATATTTTGTCTAAAATTTATACTTGCCCTGGTGTGCCTGGTCAAGAAAGTCCATTATATTAACAATGCACTTTAAATATCTTCTTGGTATCTACAGTGACACTACTGTCAACCTCTCTGTGCAACAATACCAAATTTTTTGCACTCATAATAAAATACAGTCACACGGCTTCAGTGGTTGCCATGCAAATTTATGTAAATCTAATTTTATGCGCTTAACAACTGGTTGGCAAGGAGAGGCAAATTAAAATTAGCATGGAAGTGAGTAATATGTATCAATGCCGTGTTTTATAAAGTGGCAAAATGTTAACTAAACTTGTTGATCCAATTTCCTGTCTAAAATAAGACACATGAAGAATATTGTCGTCTATATGTGAATATTTTTTTTAGCAGTTGCCAGTTTTTAGGGCTACTAGATGCTATTATGGTCCTTCAGAACCTCAGGCCAGTGGTATTGTGTTTTCAACTTGTATGTCTGATTTTAAGAACGGGTCAGAGAGTAAACATGGACACCTATCTCTGTGATAACCCAGAGTCAAGAAGTTTAAACAACCAGTGAATGCACACCTGCAATCACACCCACAAACTGAAATGTTCAAAACACCTATTTCTGTCTATAGCCTGGAAAATTGTTGGTTTCTAACTCTCTCGCGGCTTAGGTGCATGTGTAGTGCAGTTACAGCTCTGTCTTTTGGCGTGAAGAGCTATATAGGCTACACTTTTCCTTGAATGGAGAGAATTATTGTAAACAGCTGCATTTTGTAAGACAGGACGGCAAAGATTCTCTCATACTGCTAGAAAATAAAGAAGGTACAAAAGAAAGAAATATTTGAGGTAAATATAAATGCATTCTTCTTTTGAGACCAAAAACTTTATATATGAAGAAGGCTTCTTGGCTTAAAAGCAATTAGTGAAATGGGCTTTAGACTGTCTGTTTATATTTTCTTCTGTAAACCCTGTCCACATAGTTCCAATGATCTCTGGCTAATTGGGAACTGTGTTTAAGTCATGCAACATTTTGTGTCACTTATGCCAAAACTTTCTTAATTGTTAGTCTGCAGTTTTTCTATTTATTCTGTGAACCACTGCAGAGGTGAGATTAGAGGTAAACACTGCTTTTCTGTAAATTTTTTTCTCAATGGGAGCCTGATCCAGGTGCATACAGCTGGTGTGCTCAGACTGCACAATTACAAACATTGGGGCTGCACGTAGTCAGTGGCGGAGGGACCAGGGGGACTGCTGCAAACTGGTACAGATGACAATATATATCACACAAGTTTTGAGTTTAAGCAGGCACAGAAACTATAAATTTCCCCCCTAATTTTCCCCACCTCTTACGCTCATTATCCACAATTATTTGTTCGCTGGGACCTGCTCTCCCACCTCTCTACGCTTCATAGTTATCAGCACACAAGCAGTTGGTGACAGAAGCACTGATAAAGTACTCTAGTGTTTCCTTTCCACTAATAACTGGGCTGCTGCTGTTTATATGCACATCTGTGTGATCTTATAAATCCACAATGAGGAAAAAGATTAACTATAACCCTGACTGCTTAACATTTCCGTGATCATACAGAGAATACATGAACAAGCAAACACACAAGACACAATGATAATACAATTAACATTCCCTGCCTGATTGATTGCTGTTCTGTTAAAGTTCTGACACTTCATTAGCATATTAGCTACAGAGTTTACGTTCTTAAAAGAAGTGAGTCAAAATAAAATATAAAATTTGAATCTATGATCAAACATGGTGCATTTTGAACCAAAGAAAGACCAGACAAGTGACTGATGGCAGTGAGGTGAGGTGGGGCTACACTTTAAATCTCCATATTTCTGTGTAGGTTTTATTTTTAAATTATATAAAAAAATAGCTGTTGAAAATAAAATTGAAATTACAATTTGTGTTTATGGCTGCTTTATGTGTTTTAGACCAACAACGCATCTTTTTTAAATAAAAAATAAACAACCTTTGTTTACAAAAAAAATTGTTTGAGAACACAAGTCCTCATTTTGCGTTCAGTAAAAAGCTTCAGTCACCACCCACTCATCATATGAGGAATTTTACCAGTGTTGATATCAAATTTGGGTCTAAAAGAAATGCATTACCTTGAAAAGAGACCTGCAGACGTATTCATACACCATAGTCTTTAGATTGGTCCCCAAAGCAGCAATCCTGGCATCAGTATTCTCTTCTTCCTAAAATACGCACACAGTTAATTTCATGGGGCATGGACCATTAAACAGCAAGATATGATGTTAAAAAGTTTATTACAGAAATTCTTTTTGTTTTGGGTTTTTCTTAGCAGTCAATGAAAAACAATGCAATAAACATTTTGATGCTGAAATTATTTTGTTCAGGCTGAATTTGGGCTTTACATTAACAGCAATCTAATCAAAATGCAAGTGATAGTTTTAGTTAGTTGTGTACTTTCCTTCTGTTTTCATGTTACGGGCTGATCAAACGCAACAAAGTTAGGTTACTTCTAAAGTCCTCCTTGAAATTTTAGTATACAAAAAATAAGAATGAATTTTACAAGGATTTTTTTTTTTCAGGCGATGCTGTTGAGTGAGTGTGTTTCATCATGTGAGAGTGTGTGTGTCTGATGTATCTGCATATGTAAGCAAGCCCGAGTGTGTTCCACTATATGAGAGGCTAACATTCTCTTCCAGATCTCAGAAACCATCTGCAGCTCATGGCAGATTAAACTTGCTCATTCAATGCAACAAACAACAAAAAGACACTAAGAGAGGTAGAGTTTATGACTCAGTGCACCCATTTTGACCACAGTGTCTGACTGAGCCAAACTACACACACACACACACACACACACACACACACACACACACACACACACACACA